AACCGAAAAGTGGGTGAAGGGAGACGTCGGACAGGGCAAGATATGACAAAATACCCATTCATAAACTATCAAGGGCTCATGAGGGAGGGGGGAGCGGGGAAGGAGGGGAAAAATGAGGACCTAATGTCAGGGGTTTAAGTGGAGAGAAAATGTTTTGAGGAACGATGTACAAATGTGCTTTACATAATTGATGTGTGTATGGATTGGGATAACAGTTGTATGATCCCCTAATAAAATGTTTAAAAAAATAATATTGTATACTAATAATTTAAAAAATAATAATAAAATAAATTCAGTAAAAAAAAAGAAAACTAAAACCAACACAACCGCACCAAGAGACAACATCATAATAAATGGAGAAAAGATTGAAATTGACAAACATTTTATTTTACTTTGATCCACAATCAATGCCCAGGAAATTAGCAAAAAAGCAATCAAACAACTTATTTCACTGTGCAAACATACTGCACCATTCTTCTTGAAAATGGTGAAAAGTAAGGCTATCGCTTGGATTTCTAAGGTTTCCCTGACCCAAAGCATGATGCTTTCTATTCACCTCATAGGCATATTAAAAACATAATAACAGCATTTGCCTTTTCAACAAATATATATCTGTGAAGGTGATTAAAACAAACCAAAAAATAGTATATTTAAACAACTTCACATCCAATTGGTACTGAAGTGGTATAAGAGCTCAGTTGCTAACCAGTAGGTCAGCAATTCAAACCAGTCACTGTTCCACTGAAGAACAATGTAGAGACCTCTTTTCATAGAGATTATAGCCTTAAAAATCCTATGGGGTAGTTCTGCTCTGTCTTATAGGGTCACTATAAGTCAAATTGACTCATTGGCTATGGGTTTGGTTCCATCTCAAAGCTAGATGATGGTGGGGATATGACATGGTTTAAAATCTGGAAAGGTGCGGTCACTATAAGACATGAAAAAAATTTATAAATCATCAAGGGTTCATAATGGATGAAGGGGAGGGAGGGGGGAAATGAGCTGATACAAAGAGCTTAAGTAGAAAGAAAATGTTTTGAAAATGATGATGGCAACATATGTGGAACTGTCCTTCACACAATGGATGCATGTCATGGATTGTGATAAGAGCTGTAAGAGCCCCCAATAAAATTATTTTTTTAATTGGAAAGGTGTGTGTCAAGGTTATATCCTTTCACCATACTTATTCAGTCCATTTGCTGAGTAAATCATGAGAGAAGCTGGATTATATGAAAAAAATGAGGTATCAGGATTGGAGAAAGGCTTATAAGCAACTTCTGAAAGGCAGATGACACAAGCCTGCTTGCTGAAACTGAGGAGGACTTGAAGCACTTGCTGATTAAGATCAAAGATTTCAGTCTTCAATATGGATTACAACTCAATTTAAAAAAATCAAAATCCTCATAGCTGTAACAATAGGGAACATCATGAGAAATGGAGATGAGATTGAAGTTGTCGAAAATTGTGTTTTGCTTGGTTATACAGTCAATGCTCACAGAAGCATATGGAAACAGCAGTCAGGACATCAAACGACAAGTTGCATTAGGTA